TTGCTTGATAACTCTGAGTTGACATATTTCCAAATTATTTGTATCAAAATATCATCGTTAAAATATATTTTTAACAGAGTAGATTATTGATAGTAAGTAATAAGTTTTTTAAGATATATGTCACATTTTTTACATCAGATCAAAGGGGGAAATGTCATTTTACTGCCCCTCCCCCTTACAACAAATCTATATGTTTAAAATGATGCAATTAGTACATTTGGTGATAGTGGTTATTTTATCTTTTATAGTAATTTTTAATTTGTTATCCGATTTATTATTATTGGCAGATGAAATAATCCCTTTGAACATCACTTGATAAATCTTAGTACTGAGACAGACTGCGTGTTGGTCTGTGCATCTTGGATTGATTATAATAATTTTTACTCTTGAGAACTATTATTTATGTCTAAAGGATATTCTATTTGGTCTTTAATATAAACTTGAGAAAGAAAATGGAAACTATTGTTTGCTGTTAAAGAAGTAGTCTTCATCAAGGGTTTCGGCTGTACCTCCTTCCCACCCCTTAAAGGGAAGCCCAATCAACAAAGCTCCCAACAATGCTGGGTCTAGAGAGAGTTTGATGTACACAGCCTTATTCCCATGAGCAGAGACTGTTATTGCAACTAAAATTAATGACTATCAAGTCACAAGGCAGTAACTATACCGTTGTGCCAAGGCTCAACCTTTGTTTCAACCCACCTCTAAATAGAGAGAGGCAAATAGGAAGAGAGAGAGAGAGAGAGAGAGAGCTCAAAATGGTTTTGAATCTTATCTGGCATTGTTATACGTTTATTGTTTTGCATTAGGACACTATTGGGAATGGCAAAGCAGGAAATAAAGCTCAATGTCTAAGTAGTGCAGCTAGAGCATTGAAGGATGGGAAGAATGTTTTTATTGATAGATGCAATCTTGACAGAGAACAGCGCTCAGAATTTATAAAGCTTGGTGGTGGACACCAAATAGATGTGCACGCAGTTGTACTTGATCTTCCTGCTAAACTTTGTATTTCTCGATCTGTAAAACGAACTGGGCATGAAGGAAATTTGCAGGGTGGAAAAGCTGCTGCAGTTGTGAATAGAATGCTTCAAAATAAAGAGCTGCCCAAGTTAAGTGAAGGCTTTAACCGGATAACATTTTGTCAAAGTGAGAGTGATGTCAAAGATGCTACTAATACGTATGCCACACTTGGGCCACTGGATAACCTTCCCCATGGCTGCTTTGGCCAGAAGAATCCAGATTCCAAAATTCAGGTTGGTATAATGAAGTTCCTAAAAAAAGCAGAGGTCCCATCTGATGGAACATCTAGAGAAAATAGGACTGGAAACTCTACTTCCCAGTCTCCTGGGAAAAATGACTCCTGCAGCAAAGATATGGAAAAAATTTCTTCAATTCCAAATAATGCCAAATTACAGTCAGAAGAAGTAAAAGGTCCGGCAGTTGACTCTGCTGGTTGCCATGCCAATAGTGCTTCTCCGGATGATACTCCCACTCTGGCATTTCCATCTATTTCAACAGCTGACTTCCAATTCAACCACGAGAAGGCAGCTGATATTATTGTTCAGAAGGTTGCTGAGTTCTCAAATAAGTTCAAGAATGCGAGACTTGTTCTAGTTGACCTGACACATAAGTCAAAGATTCTTTCCTTAGTTAAAGCCAAAGCAGCAGAAAAAAACATTGACACCCAAAAGTTCTTTACCCATGTTGGAGACATTACTCAACTATATACGGCAGGAGGTTTGCGCTGCAATGCCATAGCTAATGCTGCCAACTGGTAAGATTCTATTATTTCAGTGTATATGTAATTTCATTTAAGTAGAAATTTAATAAACACACATGATAACCCTCAGCCAGGTGCGTAGGTGACACATGACCGTACTTATTACAATTAGATGGCTATATTTGGACTGATAGAATGGGGTGGAATGGAATGGTATAATACTAGGTCCTTTTGTTTGAGTTGTTTAAACTTCAAAATTGAATGGAATGGGGAACAGGATGGAAATGAAATGCATTCAATCCAATACCCTTTCCTTCTCCTCCAATATGGGGTATGGGGCAAAACCATTCTTTTTTCTATTTTGTCATAAAATATCCAAATAATGCAATGGTAATGTTTCATTTCTTTCCACTTCATTCTGTTCCATCCCATCCCATTTCATTCAACTCACCATTAGATATTAAAACATAGCTTCAGTCTCTATTTCTCTGCACCTAGATAAGAAAATTTCTGTTGATTGTAATTCAATGATCAAATTCCAGATTGAAGCTTATCTAGCAGCTTAGAATCTACTGGTTTTTTATGTTGTCTTTTGTCATGCAACTTCACCTGCTAATGAATCAATTCAACTGCCTTGCTTTGGTAATTCATTCCCAATCATTTCAGTTAATGACACCAGTGCATGCTTCCTGATTGATGTGGATCTCATTCATTTTGACTTATTTTCGTGCATCCACTTTTACTCTTAAAAACATGTAATAAACTCTCAGTATATTTTCAATCCAGTAAACTTGTCATTCTCACAGGTTATCTTGGTTAAATGAAAAATCCTTTGCAGGCGGTTGAAACCTGAAGGTGGAGGTGTTAATGCAGCAATTTTCAAAGCTGCAGGTCCTGAGCTGGAGTCTGCAACCAAAGAAAAAGTAAAATCTCTTTCCCCTGGGAATGCTGTTGTTGTGCCCCTGCCTTCATCTTCTCCTTTGTTCGCTAGAGAGGGTGTAACTCACATAATACATGTTCTTGGACCTAATATGAACCCACAAAGACCAAATTGTCTAAACAATGATTATAATAAAGGCTGCAAAATTCTTCAAGATGCTTATGCTTCACTATTTGAAGGTTTTGCATCAATTGTGAGAAAGCTGGCAGAGGAACCTGGGCTTAGAAATGAAAACCTTGAAAAGAAGTCTTTGGACATGCAGGATCAATCTGAATTTTCCAGAAATAATTTCACAAATACTGATCAAAAGAGTAAGAGAGATGCTGATCAAGGATCGGAAAAAAACAAGAAATACAAGGGAACCAAGGACGGTTTTGGATTGACCTTTACTGATTCAAGGGATCCAAAGGTAGATTCAGAGCATAGAGGAACTGTTGGGAGTATGAACAAGGCATGGGGATCATGGGCTCAAGCTCTTCACCAAATAGCAATGCATCCTGAAAAGCACAAGGATGACTTGCTTGAAATTTCAGAAGATGTTGTTGTATTGAATGATATGTACCCTAAGGTTGAATTGGTCTCTTTTCTTTTTTCTCCCCTCTTTTTTTTTTTTGGTTTTTTTTGGTGTCATACATGACTCTGCAAATGTAACAAAATGAATTTTCTTGTGCTTTGCAGGCACAGAAGCATGTTCTGGTGTTGGCACGAATTGTAGGTCTTGATTGCCTGGCAGATGTCCAAAACGAGCACGCACAGTTATTGAAGAAGATGCATGCTGTAGGTTTAAAGTGGGCTGACAAGTTCTTGCATGAGAATGCTTCTCTGGTATTTCGCCTAGGATATCACTCGGTATGCAGAGTATATACTCTAACTACTTTTCCTCTCCCTTACCCACAGTGGCTTTGCTATGATATGTTTTCTATCAAAAAACTCATTTAAGTAAACTGATGGCTAAATCGGATTCATATTAAGAATTGAGAATTTAAAGATAACTTATTTTGTGATTATGCATATTTTTAGGTCAATAACTCAAGACTAGTATTAGTGATAAATATTACCGATGATATTCACTAAGGAAGACTATTAAAAAGGAATATATTTGAAAATTGTGCAAGAAACAAGCTATTAAAATATTTACTCAATCATGTTAGTGATTGGTTGAGACTTGAGGTGTATCGACACATAACTGCAATGCCATCGTTAAGCTTTTCCATTTTGTTGGGTGTGTTTTTTGCTGTAACATTTATAAACTGAAATCTTCAATAGTTGTTCAAGTCTTCTTGATACATTGTACTTATATGCTGAACCTTTTTTACCTTGTGCAGGCTCCATCAATGCGACAACTACATTTACATGTTATTAGCCAGGACTTCGAATCAAAACATTTAAAGAATAAGAAGCACTGGAACTCATTTAACACTGCTTTCTTTCGAGACTCAGTAGATGTAATTGATGAGATCTCTAATCATGGGAAAGCAACATTGAAAGATGATGACAAGCTGCTGTCCATGGAGTTGAGGTGCCACAGATGTAGAAGTGCGCATCCAAACATACCCCGGTTAAAATCACATATTAGCAGCTGCCAATCCCCCTTTCCTGCTAGCTTACTTCAAAATGGACGTTTGGTGCATGCACCAGGGGAACCTTGCAACAGGTTGTAGTAGTAAAAGTTTTTGTCTACACTGCTACTAAGCCAGACTAGTTTTGGGCTTTCCTTTTGAGTACACTTGATAAAATCACCACTGTATAGTAAAATATTGAAGCATTTTTGCCATCTATGAAGCTAAAAGGAGAGTTAATTTTCACCTTACCTTGCATTAACGATTGGTGGCATCAGATGGTTTGACTTTTAAATCTTTAGAAGTAACTTTGGCTTGATGGACTGCAAATCAATATATATTGTGTTTGGTTGAGTTATATAGTGGAATATACACTTTCAACTCACTGCTACTCTGAAAAGTTAAAAGTAAATGTGTGTTTACCGCTTCAACAATGCAAAATTTTCATTGAATTTTCAACTGGGAATGACCTCAATTTGTGTCTAGCTCTATGCATTTACTTTTTAAATATTAAAAATAATTCAATGAATTTGAACCTGGTGTATCTGCATTTCTTTTCCAAGAAAATTTCTTATATCTTGTACTAGGCATAGTTTAGACGTATTAATTTGCTTTTCAACTTACATTACAGGGAAAATTTTTACAACTTAAATTCATCATTAAGGTTCAAAATCTTCACTCGGTAGAATAATATATGCAGCTACCCCAAATCACGGGCTATATGAGTGAGTCATATTTGCACGTGAAAGAAGGTTGTGATTTTGTTATCATGGCCTTTTTTGACCGGTCTACAATTTAAATTTCAATTAAGTTAAGCTGCGGCTAAGTTGCTATCCTTAGATACCATGTGATGTGTGGGTGATTTTAATATAGAACGATTCCCCCCTCTGAAGTGTATGTCGGGATTGAACAGAAAGATATAAAATAAAGAGATAAATAATAGATTTAATAAGAATTGTAATATAAAAGAAAGATATAAGGTACATTGAAAAGGTTGATATGTGAAAAAAAATTAATATTCAATATTTTTTATTTTCTATTCTGTGCCATTAACTAACAACATAAGTGAAAATCCCAATAAAAATACATGACTTTTTTTTTGTTTAATTTCAATTTTAAAAATTGAAAATTAAGACTAGATTTTGGTTTTTCTTATTTTTAATTTTTAATTTTAATACCAAATTTTAAAGTCTATCAACATAAATCACTCCCTATGTCTTCATTGATTTTTCTCTCTCTCTCTTTCCCTCTCTTTCTATACATATAGATAGAGAGAGAGAGAAGTAAATGAAGATATATATATATATATCTTCATTAATTCAACAATGATGCGAATTAAGAGATTAATGAAGCTAATTCAAGTTTTTTAAGAAATTCATTACAAATCTTGCTTAAACTTAGATGTTAAATAAAAGTCTTTAAATGAAGTTACGAGACTTGGACTTAACAAGTTTCTTTTACCAAAAAAAGGACTAAACAAGTTTTTCTCTAACTTAAATTTAAGCTGAATCACATTTTTATTCTCAATATTTGAACTTAAAAAATAGAGTTGTTGAAAGAGTTTTAAGCCATAATGTTACAAAATAAGAAATTTAGATAATCAATCATACATAAACAGACTTCATTAGATCTTAATCGTGCTATTTGAGCTGATAATGTTATATGATTACATGATATATTTGAACAATTTTACACGTATATGATTTCAATTTTCTCGAGTTTTGTAAATGTATTTAGCTATTAGATAGGTTAATCAAGTTGATTAAAGTCTAGAGTAATTTCGTAGGCCAGAAATTCCTAAACCCAAGCAGTTTCTATATATTTCAAAACTTACTGTATTCAAAGGAATAAATGAAAGAAAGATTTTGTTGACAAAATTAAAAATTTTGAATAATTTTCTCTTGTATTCATCGTTAATCATTTTAACTTATTAAGGTTATCAATCTTGCAATGTCTCAACACTTTAGGTCTTTATTTTTGTACTAAATACTTAAGTGGATCACCAAACCTAATTTTAAACTTTATTGAAGTATAACTTCATGTGGTTATGAATCGTTTTACACCTTAATTCTAGTTGTTGAGGTTAATTTTTGTAAAATGAAACATAAATAAATAAATTAGTCTTTTATGATTTATCAAGTTTAATAATTAAAACTTTTGCTACCTCTTTTATTAAAAAATTATAAAATATAGTAAATAATATGTAGTATCAATTATGTAATATTTAAATAATAAAAACTTCATATTATTTTATTAAAATAAATTTAATAATTTTTACAGCCAACTCTATTATTTCTCCACTTTTCGCCCACAGACACCCCAAAACAATACCAGCTATCGATCATTCATTTCTTTAAATGCAAATAATAATAGATCCTCACTCATTAAAGAAATACCACTTTATGTGAGAGGTAAAAAACAAACTTGATGTTTGTTTCTTAAGGTTTATTTATTTTGGTGGCTCCACACAAAATTGATGTGAGACACATGTCACTTTCTAGTGTTAACAAATGTGACTAGTCCTCGTACTGATATTATTAAAATTAAAATGACCAAAATAAAATGTTCTTCTTTCCACAAACTATGTTTGTTATATCAAACCTCTGAAATTATAATTTTAACTTTTACTATTTTTTTATTACGCTGTATTTAAAGTAAAAGAAATTAAAGTTTTGTTTAAAAGTTAATTTTTAAAAGAAAAGGAAGATTTATTTAATGATAATTCTTAAGAGAAAGTTACGTGGGAAAACTCATCTTTTCTTATTTAGGGGTTGTGGTAAAGGTGGAAGAAACTAATTTACATATGTGGCTTCCAAGAAAACGTAATTTCCATAAAATATGAGGAATTAGAGAGGGAAGTTACGTTTTTTTTCCTTTAATTTTTTTAATTTTATATAATAAACATTAGAATAGTAATATGAACAAATACAGTAGTAAAAAATAAATTTTTTTTATCAAATAAACATTTTATAATTATTACAAATAAGTTTTTAATACAAATTATTTATTTTTATTATTACTTTTTTACTCATTTAAATAAATATATTTTTTTAATTTTTTCTTCTTATTTATATTTTTTCAAGCAATACATCTTTTTACTCTATTTCGCATTTTTTTCCCTTATATTTTCTTCTCCATTTTGTTCAATATCAAGCATACCATTTTGAAATAAGAAGGATCAATTTGAGTTCACAATTTTAAACAAATAATCTATTGAGTAATTTTATTACTTGAAACATAAAATCATAAAAAATAAATAAATTTAAATAAAATAAACATTATAAATAAAATAAAAATTTGATTGTCTAATATATTGCAATAATCATAAAATATAGTTGCTATGAAAACACATTTGGTTATTGAAATAATTAAGGGTATGTTTGTTTTCGCATTAATCCACGTGGGTAGATTATGAATTTGAACAAAAGTTTATAACATTCAAAAATGTGCAACTAAACATGTTTAGAAGAAGAGAATTTTATCACCTATTCAGCTTAAATAAAATTGTTTCTGACAAAAAAAAATATCTGCAGTCTAAATTAAAAAATAAACGTACAACCAAACATTTCCTAAAAAATGTAAAATATAAAATACTTTTTATTATTGCTATTATTTTTATTTTTATTTTGGTATACATTAGATATAATGGTTACATCCGATGTGTTATTATTTTTTATATATATTTACATAATTATCTTTCTCGAAAGTTAATACAAGTATTTCAAAATTAACCATAGTATGCGAAAACTATTCAAGAAAATATTTAAAAATAACTTAATCTATGTAAAATTATTAAATTTTGAGTTTAACTATTCATTAAATTTTATTTAAATCTTTATACTTCAACAAAAGCAGTATTAACAACTATAGAATAATTTTTAATAATTTTACGACAACTAAAATATATTGAATCCATTTAATAATTACTAATCCAGCGGGTCTGTGTTTTCCACACTCAATCCCTATAAAAAGATGCGCCTCTTCATATGAATCAACAGCACTGATAAAAAAAAGTGATAGATGGCTCTTGTCATCGTGATGAATTTACATGAAATATTATGTATAATTAACGTTATTTATTAATTAAAATTTAATTTTTATTTTGATAATCTGCAATGTAATTTCTTTCTTAACGGAAAACTTTAATTTTGAACGACATAAAGTCTGTCTAAAATCTAGTACACTCAATTAATTTTGACAAATTGGCCAACATGCAACAAAAGATTTATCCGCTACATAAGCATCTTAAAGGAATTAATCTCAACTTAGATAGAGTTAAACTCCAATGTTCCAAAAACTTTGTAATGGCTGAAGAGTGTGAAATCACTGAGGATTGGGAGGACGGCTATTAGCAGAACAGACCCTGGAACCCCATTCAAGCAACTCTTTGCTGGTGTCATCTTTGTGAACAATCACCTCAATGAAGCAAAAGCAATCCTTCTTGGGTCCTTTTGCTTCCTCAATTGCTTCAATTAGCTCCTCTTCACATGTAACCTGCACAAACCATTCATAAATTATAATATATTATGAGCACTTCCCCATGTTAAAAACAATCAAGTTTGAGAGTAATTTATGTACTATGTTAAGAAACTCACCTTTGTGGTCCAGCAATTTCCTTCACCATTGTGGATTGCATCAACCAACCCAGTGTAGTTCCAGTTCTTGATCACATTGTATGGCCCATCATGAATTTCCACCTCAATGGTGTATCCACCATTGTTTATCAGGAAGATGATGCTCTTCTGCCCACATCGCAGCATTGTGGACACATCCTGAGCTGTCACCTACAAAGAATTTGAAAAATATGTTGGTACAAATTTCAATTTTATTAATGGCGATCCTTAGAACATTTTTATTATTAAAAAGTAACGAAGTTTTATGTAAGAAAATCATTTATTAAACTTTTTATTCTCGATGAAATACTGTTTTTAATAAGAACTTACTACTTAAATGAAAACATTGTTTTTATTGAAGTCATGCTTGAGTAGCTATGCATGCAAGACAAACCTGAAAGCTTCCATCACCAATGCAAGCAATCACTCGCTTTTCAGGGACAGCTTGTGCATAACCAAGAGTTGCACCAACAGACCATCCAATTGAACCATATTGCATTTGGAACTCATACCTATCAACATAGCTTTTCATCAAAACTTAAAAACAACGAAATAAATAAAAAAACAAGAAACACCAAAATCCACATTCTCTAAACTACTTACCCACATCCTTGTGGCAGTTTCAGCTTTTGGCAGTTAAACCAAGAGTCCCCTGTCTCAGCAATAACTGCTGTTTCAGAAGACAGCATTTCTTGTATATGTCGAAACATAACATTAACCCTCAAAGGTTCTTTGGGTTCCGCCTTCACAGGATGTCCATCAGGGACAAATATCCTGTAGTAATTCTCATATGCAGTGCTGTTATGATTGAGACGCTTTGCAAGTTCTTTTAGGAAATCCTTCATCAGAACACACCCAAATGCTGGCCCATTTCCGACGACAACTCGGTCAGGTTGGACGATGATGGCCTTCTCCTTCTTGAGAAGGAGTGAGTACCCAACAGAGCTGTAGTCATTGAAAATGGGTCCAGCAAACAAGTATGCATCAGCAGACTCTATAATCTCAGAACAGAATGCAGTACTAACTGCACCCCAGAAAGTGCCAATGAAGTGAGGGTGGTGCTCAGGGACTAGTCCCTTGGCTGATGGCATCACAGCATATGCATAGCCGCATGCATTTGCAAGCTCAATAAAAGCATCACTTGCCTTAGCCACCCTGAGTTTAGGACCACCCACTAGAACTGGCTTCACTGCCTTGTTTAGGAACTCTGCTGCTGCCTCCACTGCTGCCTCTAACCCCATTTGATTGCTCAATCTGTAAGCAACAAACTATTTAGCATATTCAATAAAATCATTGATACTAAACTAATCATTATTAGCATTTCCCATGGTTGGATTGTTCAATAATCACAGAGCCAGAGAGGATTATACAACATCCCTTCCCTTCAACAAAGAAAAATGGAAATTTTACAAAAATCTGACCTTGGAGACAATGAAAATGGGACAGGTTCACGACTGAAAGTAGGGTGAGGAATGCCAGGCAAGTTACAACTAATGCTTATGTACACAGGTTTGCTTTCTTTCAGCGAGGTTGAAATCGCAGTATCGATCATTTCATGAGCATCTTCCAAGTTATTCACCACAGCCTATCAAACGATCCACAGAAACCATTTAGGACATTCCTCAAGAAATTGAAAAAATAAAAACAAGTTTTTCTTCAGTTCATTAAAATCAACAGAAAACAGTAAACCAAAACATATAAACAGCTTGCAATACATTTTTCATGCTGAATGCATTTCACGTACATTTTATTAAAAATTATTTTTTTTCTTCCACGTTTCTATAATATTTAAAAAATAAATAATTGCATGCATAGTTTCATTTTATTTTAAAGAAACAACAACTTATTTTCGTAATTCTTTGAATAAAATGTGAAAAATAAGTGTCCATAATTTCTGCCAAGTGGGATTTGCGAGGTTACATGTACGCATCGTTAAGCTCACAAGCTTTATAGAATTTGAACTCACATGCACCAACCTTACTACTTTTGCACATTTCTCTTGCGCTCTTAAAAGTAGAGATAGTTAGAGTTCTAAGAATATTTCAGGAGTTAAATGATTTTATTCTAAATAAATTAACGAGATCTTACAATTAAGTTAATAAAAAATTTATATAATTTTTATTAATTTTATTACTCTACTTAAAATAAAATTATTTAGGCGATGAATAACTTAGACGAATCCCTTGATTATGCCTAATGAAAAATAAAAAAAATAAAAAAATAATATAAATTTCATGCATATTGGGAATTAATAAATGTATTAAAAAAAGATCGAGTTTAGAAAGGGACCTGGTAGCAAGTAACGGTTTGGAAACACCTGAGTTCTTGGCTGAAATCGGGTAATCCAATGGTGTGATGGAGGATCCTGTTAGTGCCGAAGTCGTTGGTGTTGGGCCCACCAACGATGCAAATCAATGGAAGGTTCTCACTGTACGCGCCCGCAATCGCGTTTATCACGCTCAGCCCCCCCACCGTGAACGTCACCACGCATGCGCCCACGCCGCGCGACCGCGCGTAACCGTCGGCGGCGTACCCAGCATTGAGCTCGTTGCAGCACCCGATGACCTTGAGCTGCGGCTCCGCAATGAGGTGGTCGAGGAGGGTAAGGTTAAAATCACCCGGGACGGAGAAAACGTCGGTGACCCCCACCTGGACGAGCCTTCGTGCCAGGTGGCGACCCAGGGTGGCTTCCGAGGATGTCATATGCGTGGCCGGAACAGAGCTTTTGATGGCCGAAACGGTGCCGTTTGCTGGACAACCGACGTCGTTGTTGGCGGGCTTACACGTGTCGAGAGATCCAATGTTTGTGCTCATTGGTTGGTTCGGTGTGGTTTGGGGAGTGGAGAGTTTGAATGAGAATTGGTTAACGTTGGAGTCTAAAGTTTGAGAGATTTTGTTTGTGTGAGATGAGGAATGAGAGGGAGTGAGTGTATTTATAAAGCGTTGTTTGTGTGGGGTGTTACTGTGGCACAAACACGCCTACAACTATGGGAAGAGAACTTGGTGGGTTGCATTACAAGGGGCGCTTTTCGGGTTTTGCATGTTCCGACTTGGCTTATTTTAAATTTATAATAATTATTATTATATTTTTATCCTTTTTTTTCTCTTACATTATATATATATTCTCATATAATTTTTTTCATTTGGAATTGATGATGGTCTCGTGGGCGTTGTGTTTTTCTTTTAACGTTTTTGGTGTCGAAAAATAAAATTCAAACACACAATTACAGGAACTTTCGGTCGTAAAATGATTTGGTGGGACATTTTTATTTCCTTTTAAATTTTCTTTTAAGGAGGATTTATGGCTACAATAAGTGGAACTAATGCGAGGATTAAACTTGTGTATTATTGTTGTAAATGACTTGTTTTGGATATATTTATTTGGATGTATAATGAAAAGTAAAATAGGATGAGATTTAATAAAATAAAATAATTATACACTTTGTTAGTTATAATAACACTATTTAAAAATATACAAAGTTTAAAAGAAAATCATGGCTTTCCTCAATAAACGGCAAAACCGAAGCTGAACGTTAACTTTGCCCTTGGTACCGTATTCATAGGATCCTCTGAATGTGATTCCCGTTGTTGTTTTATTCGAAGAAAATGTTAATACCCACTTTTATAATATTAATTGATAATTAAAATAAAAATATTTATTAAAATATTATTATTAATATATTTTAACGTGCAATTTAATAAAAATATTATTTATTAATTTTTTAACTAATAACTTAAGAATACTCTCAAAATATTTATATAAATGGAAAAGTTTGCCATCAGAACTGAAAACATTTTATTTTATTTAAATCGTCGTCATATTTAAACCTGTTTAAAATGTGCCAGTTTCATTTTTTTTTATTATTAGTTTTAAGGACATTCTTTCGGTGTATTTAATCCATAATTTATAAACAATAAATTTATTAAAAATATATTATTCAATGTAATCATATATTAAATTCTAAAATTTTTAATAAAATTTTATATTACATAAAATTAATCAATTCAGCTGTTAAATTATTTTATATTATTTTTACATAAATATATATATTAAATTTTACGTAATTTTAAGATTTAGAATTATATTATTTAAAGTTTGATATTTTTTATATTTTAAAAATATATGACTTGTTAAAATAAAATAATGTGATAAAATCTATTAATTTTTATTTTTATATAAATTTATCTTAACATTGCATTAAAAAAAATTGCTTTAAATAATAATTTATATCATAAATTTAATCATAAAATTCATTTAAAAATATTTATTTTAATAATTTGACTAAAAATTTATTAAAATAAAGCTTTAAATTTTAAAAAGTTTAGAAAAATCATATATTATTTTTATAAATTATTTATAAACTTTTTGTAACAAACTCATAAGTCTACCCTAAGGATTCCTCTTAATGATTTTTTTTTTCCAGACATAAATTTCCAGACAGAGCTAAAATCTTTATTTAATTCATTTTTTTTTTTATATTATGAAGGAGGTTGGTATAAGATTAAAAGTAGTGTGAAAGATGATATTTCATCACCTAATGAAATGATTAATGCAAAAGCTAAATGCTAATTGCCGATCAATTTAAAATCTCAGGCTTCCTATAGTATTGATTGATCCAGGAAATTAATTACTCAAGTTCTCACCACTTTTTTCTTTTATATTTTTTTCCCGTGCAGATTTTGAAGTCCTGAATTGAAAATTAAAATTATTATTTTTTAATTTGTATCAATAGTACATAATAAAAATTGAATAAATAATATTTTTTAATAAAAGTATAATAATTATTATATATAATTTTTTATTGCATATTTTTAACAGATTAAAACTAACATTTTTATTTTTATTTTCTTTTTGAATTAAATAAAATATATATTATTATTATTATTATTTTCTTTAGTTTCATTATTATCATCTAAATTAAAAATATAATATATTTTTAAAATTTAATGTTGAGAACGATAAGCAAAGAATGTGAAACATGCATGCACCGTCTAATAACAACTGTCGTGAATTCTGCCGCGGATTGCCACGTGTCGAATCTGTACTAAATTCGTGAAGTAAATTTGTGGTGAAACGGTGAAAGATAATTATTGTATTATTGCTATCGATTCGGAACCGTACAACAGTTTTATCGTTAAGGTTTAAAAAGTATTTATACCTATAGCAAAAAAAGAGTATTTATACCAATATTTATACGTTTTTTTAACAATTTTCATATCAATACTAAAATTTAATCATCATTGGTTGAATGGGATCGATGAAGTTATTAAACAGTTTTATTATTTAAATAATTTTAAAATATAGGTGATATTATATTTTTTTTTATGTATATACGATCAATAATATATTTAAGAAATAAAAAAGATAACTTAAAAATTTATCACAAGTTATTCAAGAAAAAATTATTTATAAAATAAATATTTTTCAGAAATATATTTAAAAAACATATAATATACGGTATTTAAAACTATAAATTTCATTAATTAGTAAATTATTTTATAATTACATTTAATTATTGGATTAGAAATTTCTGTTATTCGTAAATTGATAAAAAAAAATAGTATTAAATTATTATTTAATTATTGGTATGATTTGACCCTCCGTTAAAATTACACTTTCTCGGAAAGAACTTTACTGTACTTCTGTACTTCATTCTCTTATAAGAGCTATAAATAAAAACTATATATATTTTTAGATTTGTTAAAATTTTGAAAAATTAAGGATTATATTTTAAAAATTAAAAAAAATATAATTTTAATTAAAAATGTTATATTTAAAGTACAAGAAATTTTTTAATATAAATTATTATTTAAAATTAAGTTTAATGATTAATATTAACAAGTTTATATTATCTCTTTAAATTAAACAAATAAAGGGTAATTCACAAGTTTGCCTCAATTAGTTAATTAATGTATTGGAAGAAATTTTATCGTTAAATTTATGTGCGACTTGGAATAGAAATATAAATCTCTTTAACATAGATTTAAATTCCTCTTTAAAAAAAGTATTCTTTTTTCTAAATTACGAGTAATTTTTACTAAAAATAATTATATTTGAGTTGAGTAAAATATATATAAATAATAGATTTTTTTAAAGTATTTATCTAGTATTAATTAATTTATACTTAAATTTATTTATTTATTTCAAATTATTTATGTTTAAAATATGAAAAAAATTAATATTTTGTGTTTTGTAGAGGAGGAGAATTATGATGGAGCGTAGTTCTGAAAAGTTGTGATAAAACTCAACCACAGTATCAAATTTCTTTCAAAATACCAAATTTATTTTCTTCAAATCCTAAACTTATATTTTATGAAATCTTTTAAATTTTATCAATTGTTCACTAAATTTTTTACTTCTAAGACTTTAAAATCACTTGGTGTTCTAATTTCATTACAAATCCCTCAAAAACTTTATTTAAAAGAATTTGAAAATTTTAAATAATAAAATTAACGAAAGATTACATTTGTATGATTTTTAAAATAAGAAAAATTAATTAATTAGTTTTTAAAAATTAAAGAATCAAATTTACACATAATTTAAATTAAAGAGATAAGAAAATACAACTATATCCTTTTTTATATCATTCCTGTTTTGATAATAATAAAAAAAAAAGTTGAGTAATGCGGAAAAGAAAAGAAATAAGAGTTCCTAAATTTTATTAATATATTTATTTTAAAAATAAATATTTTGAACTTCAATTTTGTCTCTTCCAATTTTAAGCTAGGCATCAAAAAATTTAATATTGTCTAGCTAATTTTCAATATTTTCTATTTTTTAAAATAATCACCTTAGGTTAAATTTTAGGATGTTTGTTTTTACAAAAAAAAAAAAAAGGGTTAAAAGTTAAAACTATTTTCAATTATATTTTCTTTGTTAGAGATTTGTTCAGATTGTGTTAACTGTAAAGTTTCAAATAATTTAAATGTCAAATCATCGTTTAATTATTCAATAAATCCCTAAATTATTTAAAAATTTGTAATTAAGTCATTGTACTCAATAGTAAAATCTTAATAAAAATGTGGCCAGGGGCCTAATTAAATTTATTGTAAAAATTCAAAAGTTTATTCATAAACTTTGAAAATATTGAGACTTATTTAAAAAAATTCAAAGAATTGAAAAGCCTACACATTATTTTAACCTCGCATTTATGCTGATAAAAGGAGCTGAAACAATTCATAGGATGTTTGTATATGTTTGCCCAGAGCTATGCATGATGCTGATTCTTTTCCCCAAGAAAACATGGTGTTGAGCATTTTGTTTTGCTATGTGAAACCACGCAGTAGCCCGCAGAAAAGACTGCAAAATTATCACTTCAGCTCTTAAATATCGCAGCCACACGCGGAAAAAATGAAAACTTTGTATATAAATGATGGAATGCAAAAATTTAGATTGTATTGTATATAAATCTCGAAATCAAGAGCATTGAAAAAAAGAAAATTTTAAAATAAACTTATTATTGAACATTCACTTTTTTTTTAAATTACTATACTCTCTTTCGTATATTATTATTATTATCTTAAAATATTTATGATTTTAAAAAAATTCGAAATAAGAAATCAAAGAAAAATTGCTATTTTAGTAAAATTAAATCAAAGTATGAATGGTGAACCCAGTTTCGTGGGTAGAAGAAAAAGGGTCTCAATTGGTCAAAATAGTATAACCCAATTGGGGTTATAGTTCAGTCGCACTCACAAGGGAGGTAGTGATTAAGACGTTGGAAGTTGGAATCAAGGGGCGAAACAAAGGAAAGAAGATCAAAACATGGCAAAATGAACATGAAAAAAAGGAGGCTTAAATTGCCACTTGTGCTGCTTAGTACAAAAAGTAACGAAGAAAAAACATAAAAGGGGTCCATGGTTTGGGGAACATAAGAAACCGGAAACAAGGTTGCTGGTAATTGAATATATTATACTAACAAATAATCAAACGTAAACTTGGCAGGTTTTTGATCGATGAATTGAAGGGATGCATGTGAGTTATGTATACACATGTTGTTGATCGACTCATGAAAACGCAACGGGTCGTGTCTCTCATGAGAAGATTCCAAGAATAAAGTGTTGTTCGGTGCAAAAGACCAAATTTGGGATCTCCAATTCACATTTCATGTGACTCTCACTCATCGCCCCATCAAAAGAGAATAAACCTAACGTAACAATGCAAGTGTGTGTTTGATTTTTTTAAAATACACTAATTATAAGAAATACATCAAAAATATAGAAAAGAGTATGTTATTTATAAGTATCTAGCTTGCCAATGTTTGGAGTAAAATGTTATATATAAACTGTAAGTTTATAAAATCTAGATTCTTATGTGTCTACAACAGAAATCTATTTCTATCATATAATTTAGCAAAAAATGATTAATTAAATGAAATAAGTTTTATATTTAGATATATTAAAAGCATGTTTAGTAAAGCTTTCAGCTAGCTGAAAACTTATTTTATTAATTGAAAAGTTTGTTTAATAAAAATAAACTTATTGATTAAAGTAATTAAAATAAAAGTTATTAGTATTATTCTGAAACGGTACTGCAAGTTTGCAACTAACTCGTTTTTTAAGCTACTAGTTAAAAATATTTTTCACTTTTATTTATTACGTTTAATACTCAAAGTATTCTTACTCACAAAAATATTTATTAAAAAAATTACTTAAAAAATTTATCAAAATAAAGGATAAATTTATTTATTTATCTTGTTTTATTATTAAAAATATTTATAAATGAGATAAAAAAAAAACTAGTATCTTAATTTTAAAATAATAAATAATTTTAAATAAATTAAAACACAAATATATATAATATTTAAAATATATATAATTACCATTTTTCTAAAATTTTGATCCAGTAATTAATTATATCACTATTTATCATTTTATATTTATTATATATTTTAACAACTATTTTATCAAATATTTTAATTTAATCAGCTAATTTATCAAACATGTTAACTCGTTAGGAAACTCGGTTCTGATAAACTCGGCCAAACTCAAATAGAATTGCTCAACCTGAAAGCAAAATTTGCAATTCTGCAACCAACTTATTACCAAGTCAATGTTAGTACCTATTTGAATTGAGCAAAAATTATTTTTTCAACCTATTTCGCTTAAGCAAATGTTTTAGTTTAAACAAAAATTATTTTATTACTTATTTTGATTAAGAAAAAAAAAATTTGTTTTTTGACGCTAAATCTGCAGAAAATTCGAATCCGACAAACGACTTTAATTGCCTAAAAAGCCCTCAAAAGTCTCAAAACATCGTTGTGCTATAATTTTTCTAGATTTTATTCAATTCCGCACTCACATTGTCTTTTCATGACAAAATCACAGGTCTGCGTCGTTCTAAATCACATGCAACAATCAGGTTGAGACGAACCTGTTGTGCGACCCACCACCTGCATCCAGGTTGCACACTTGCTAGCTACAACTAACTGCAAGGTCATAACCCATGACCACACTACCTCTAGCCTCTTCTACTCTTGGATGATTGAAATTGAAACTACAGCGCAAGGTACTATCCTATGCGTGAGCAAGCAAAATTTCAGTTTCTGATTGGTTTGCCTAAACTTGAAAAATATGTGGGAATACAAGTTTAGTTGATAATTGTGAGTTGAGATAACTGTTAATGGTGATTATCGACATCCCATTTTGTTCATAATTTACACTATTTTATAATACTATACATTGTTGGGATTCTATGATTAGATTTCGTTTAATGGCATTTGTGTTTTAAGGTAAACTCTTACTATGAATTTACTTAAACTATAATTTGAGAACATTGCTTACATGCAACTTCCGAATTATAGTCTGAATAACACAACCAATTAAAAGTGTTTATCATGACCATAAAAACTCACATTGATCCAAAATCGCTATTTACTCCATCCAATTATATGAAACTTACAATAATATACTATTCAACAAATTAATATCAACCTTTAAAAAAGAATGGAATTCTTTCAGATGGAACATATTAAGTAACAAATGCAATTCAACATAGAAAAGGAAAAGACCAAAGAAAAGGGTAATGCAAGCCCACAATAGCATACATGCAATAAATATATTTTGTGAAGAATCCCAGGTATCCACTAAATACATATCATATGATTATGCGGCATTAGATAAAAACAGAAAACAAGTGTCTACAATATATCGCCTTCTTCCAACACCGTTTCATTACTGGCAAGAGGAGAAAAGTGACAGACAGTATTGTTCACAGACAGACACGTCGGAAAAGCAACAGCTCTCTCAATCTTCCTCTTCACATTCTTGTACATGTGAAGAAAAAATAAAAAGAAAAATCATACATATCTACAACAAATACCAATACCACTTCTAAAACAAAACAACACAAATGGAGCATAACTAAGTACAAAGCTTACTCTCTAGTATATGAATCTCCTTTCTCGCAAATGTCAACAATCTTGGCCTTCGGTTTACATTCTGAAATAACTAACCGCAAAGCCTCTGTAAAATTAAAAACAAAAAGCCATTATTAATCAACTTAAAAAAAAAGCACATACAAGTTGTTGGAATTATGTAATTATAGTAATATTATAAATAAAAAAATTAGTATCTTTATAATTATAATAAATTCTTATTCTATATCACTAGTTCCTATTATAAATATATATTCCGGTGTACTCAAAACACACACATTCATCTTATGTTTTTTGTTCTCTTTTCTCAACATAAGTAAAACAACCTCTATCTAAAAAAAGCACATATAAATGAAGTAAAACCGGCTAATGGGACATGCCAAACGCAAACTGCTTTTTATGTGCTACCATGTACTAACCAATGCAGAAATATGAATACAGTACTATGAAAAATCCGGCTAATGGGACATGCCAAACACTTAATATTCAAAACATCATAATGCAAGAATTGGGCACGCTTACAATCAGACATTAATGTAATTCTAAATTTCTACCACTGATAAAACCATAGTGAAATTAAAAAAGAGATTCTGGTAGAAGATAAAATAAGTATATACGATTGCATAAAATCAAGAGATCATGACAATGTCTTGATATCAAGTATACATTAAGGTGCCTAGGTTTTAAAAAGTAAAAAAGAATGTAAACACTGGGTACAAATCGATATATAAAAATGCTAGTACAAAACTTTGCGCAAGATAATATCTGCTCTATCATATGATGGTTGTCAGTGAGAAATAATGGATCATTAAAGTAGCAGTATATCTGAAACTTCTGCAATGCCTGTATATTTGAAACCTCTCTACTTTCTCATACAATTCCAGAGTTAAACAGGTGTAGATCCAGTAAGGTATTGTAATGCCCCTTCTCAATTTCTTCTTCTTTTACTTGATGAAGAATAAGGGTCTCAATGATTAAGTCTTCCCAATCAATATCATCAACTACCATTCCTCTTCTCTTCTTCCTTCTTCTCTCAAGATAAGGGCTTTCTAGAAGGTCAGGATTCTCAGCATCACCCGTATCAGCATCTAACGAATGCAGAATTCTCTTAATCCGCACCTTAGCAGCATTGATCCTCTCTTGCCTCATTTTACATTTCAATTGACCAGTGAGAAATGATGGCGGCATGGTTTCCACTCCAACATCCTTCTCTAGTAATTGTTTAAGTACAAGCTTTTTGCTCAGTTCTGACTTCCCATCCCACCACTCCCTACATTCTTGAAGATCAAATCATAACCTTCTCCTTTTTTGAGCATTGCCACTCCTTCCTGAAGACTTGGCATTACGATTCTCATTTAAAAATTTCTCATACACCAGGGACAAGCATTCAGGTGAAATCAGCAGCTTGTCAACATCCATGATCCCCTGTTTATCAGCATTACGTTCTGACAAAAAATACCGAGAATCTTTTCGGGATGTTATGCCATCAATCCCATATTCAAATTCATCATCATGTCTCAAGCATTCAGCAACAGTATCAGCCAAATCCAGCCCAGGCTGATCAAAATTCTTCCCTTTCTCAACAGGCTTTGACAGACTTCCTCTCCATATACTGAATCACAAAGGGTGCATTCTGAACAATGTTTTTAGTATTGATATCCTTTCCCCAAGGCAACACTTGTGCAACTTTTACAAGCGCCTCAAGGAGCTCCTTGTACCTAGCTCTACAAGTGGAAACCGTGGCATGAACCTCCTTAGCCAAATCATCCATCCTCACTTGAACATCATTCAATTCAGCCACAAAAACCAAAACTGCAACCACCAAAGGAATCGGCCTGCGACCAGTGCTCAAAAACCACTTCACCGCACACTGCATAAAAAATATTCCCTGCTTCCGCATTCTCTCCAATATATTCCTCTCAACAGAGGCAAAACTAGGAGAATTATTAAGAGTCCGCTGCAACGAATGCACTATGTCAAACTCAGGAAAATCACTCTTCAAGTCCAAAAAATCAACAACTCGCATAATCATCTTACCAAGCTCGTACACATCACACTCAACAGCGGAAGCAATTTCAGCCATGGGCAAAGGTAGATCATCCCTTCGCATAACGACATAGGCACACGCGCCAATCAACACCTGAAACCAATTGCCTTGCCCGAACTCACCCTCCGTGATAATAGATATCATATTTCTGATACCGACGCTTTTCGAAGTTAACCCCAACCTAAACGTTAATTCGTCAATGGAGTTTTGTCCAGCAAATAGTTTCCTATCTCTGTAGGTGTAAAGGCTACCCGAACCGGCGGTTCCGACGTTGATGAAGGTTCCTCGAGGACCGTCAATGCCGCCGATTTGGGAGTCGAATTGATCGAATTGTTGAACGACGCCGCATGATGAACACACCAAATCTCCGGAGACATCGTCGCGGATGAAGGTGGTTTTGGCGCAGTTGTTACACGGAGAAGCGCTCAACATGAACGTCAAGTGGAGTGGGTGTTTCTGGTAAATTATGCTATGCTAACGCAAGCGGGTGAACTCTGATCCCGACTCTATGATAGATATCTGAGAAGTATTGAACGAGCACTTCATGAAATCCGAAAATCAACAATTTAGGATTAGGGTTCGTGAAATCTAAAGCATTAGCTACTTACGCTCCAACGAATCTATGTATGATTTAGAGACAACTTTCTATTTCAAAATAAATACATTGACAGAAGGATATCCTGCTTTTATCTGTATATTTTGTACTAAATAATTTAAGACTTAATTATTATTTTTTAATCAATATAGAGACAAGGCTGAACAAATTATTTCAGAGTTGGATATCAGCTATGAACAAAAACTCTTATTGACAGCACTACTGAGGACTATTTCATCTGCAAAATTATTACTTCAGCTCATAGATATTCTCAGTCATACACGGAACAAATGAAAAGTATGAATATAAATGATCGAATAACAAATATTTAGATTGTATGGTAAAGTTCTTAATTTAGTTATATAATTCAAAATTAAGAGCATTGAAAAAAGAAAATTTTAAAATAAACTTATTATTGAACATTCACTTTTTTAAAATTACTATACTCTCTTTCTTATATTATTATTATTATTATTATCTTAAAATATTTATGATTTTAAAATTTGAAAAATATTTAATTGATTTTTTTAATAATATTCATATTTATTAGTATCTCTTGTAAATATTTAAATAGATTAGCAAATTCTTTATGTTTTCGGCCAAGCACTCGTTTGAAAATTTGCTATATTAGTAAAATTAAATCAAAGCATGAATGGTGAACCCAATTTCGTGGGTAGAAGGAAAAGGGTCTCAATCGGTCAAAATAGTATAACCCAATTGGGGGTTATAGTTCAGTCGTACTCACAACAGAAATGCAAAAAATAATTAATTACATGAAATAAGTTTTATATTTAGATGTATTAAAAGAATGCTTAGTAAAGCTTTCAGCTAGGTGAGAACGGATCCAGATCGCATACAGTTTTGAAGGGAAAGATTATAAGTGGATAAAAAATGGGTGAATTGGAAAGTACTCCATCGTTTGGTATTGTTGTTACGTGAAAGGAAGGATTAATTTTCAATGGGACGGACAAATACGTTTTCTTGCATTCAAAAACGAGATTTGGAATATAAAGTACCCATTTTACCGGTTTTTTGTCTCTACTCTTCGTGTGCCTTCTTTTACACCCAAGAGAAAGAGTTGAAATGTACTGACACGTATATATCAATGTGAACGTCATATATGGGTTCTTCTCACAATGAGAAAAATATTACATTAATAAGGTTATTCAAGACATTGTATTTTATTTTCCAATTCTTTTCACTTTTCTATCATACCAAATAAGTAAAAATAATGTTTTTGCTTTTATTTATTTTCTATTGATCCAAACCATTTTAAAATTTGAATTTTTATTCCATAAAATATTTTCAATCTTATTTTTTATCCATTCATTTTCTTTTATTGCCCAACGAAGTGTTAGCTACCTTCACTCCTCCACTTCCGCGGGAATTGAGTTTGAAGAGAGGACAAACACGCCCTTAATTGCCTAAAAAGCCCTCAAAACGTGGTGGTGCTGTAGTTTTTCTAGATTCTATTCAATTCTGCAGTCGAATTGTCTTTTCACGACAACAACATCTGCGTCGTAATCACACTCAAATTTGCTTAAGATGCAACAATCAGGTCGAGACGAACCAGTTGTGCGACCAACTACCTGCAGATTTGAGAACATTGCTTACATGCAACTTCGAATTTTAGTCTGAATAATACAACTATGCAGACTTCGTATTACCACATCATGTCAACAATATGAACACTATGCACAAGATCACAAAATAAAATAGAATCAGACTCTGGATTAATAGCTTATTTTTCATAATGTTTCATCAAATGCTCGTCTTCTCTCCCTGTTCACGAGCAATAGAAGCAGAAAGAATTCCAAGATCACGATTTAAGACTGTCAATGCAGATTCACATTCAGAGATTATTCTTGTGACAGAAGAAGGCCCTTCGGAGGTCTCAGAAGAACCAAAGGCAAGAGCTGCATGTGAGTCTCTAAGATTCCGTAGGTTGCCCAAAAACTGTTGCAAATAAACAGATACATAAAGATTTTGCAAGTAACCGCGAAAATTATTCGAAACAAAGCTGCCTGTAATGGCTCAATTCTCTCACTTGACGTTACATACCAGTAGAAGAAATAGAGCAATGTTTAATGGAAACCGATAATATCATACAATAATAATGGATAACTTCTACAAGAAAAATATTTTTAAAAATTAACAGTTGGATTAAAAGTGTATATCGTGATCATAAAAATTCACATTGATCCAAAATCGCTATTTACTACATCCAATTATATGAAGCTTACAGTAATATACTATTCAACAAATTAATATCAACCTTTAAAAAAATTAGCACTTAGATACTTTTGATGGAATGATTGAAGTAGAATCACATTAAAGCGAGCAACCACACCAGAACCATCAAAGGTCCCTCAAGCTTGCAACCTAAACATCTACCTGATCTCTACACTAACAAATTCAATTCGAAGTCTAGAAACCCTTGACTTATTTTGGTATTAATATATCAAGCTATTATGCTGCAAGGAAGAATGACTGTTCTATATAAATATCATTTAGTCATCAGATCAGTCAACAAAATCAAGAATTTTATAACTACGAACCAAATCAACTTTTAATCAGCTTAAACTTCAAGATCGGTTGGTCATATACTGTCTCCAAGTTTTTTTAATTCTTTCCACATCTGCCTAAAGGCCGCATGCACACAGTCATACAGACATTTAACATTCTGAGGGAAAAGGGACTAATAGCTTAAGGCTAGATACCAAAAAAAAGTTGGATAAGAGGGAATGAGAAGAACGAATTAATGGAACTGAGCAAATTCAACCTGCGTAGCGATTGGAAGATTGGAGACAGACAACGAGAATTACTCAAGCATGACCAGCTAACATAAACCAATGGAATAAAGTACAAGGATGATTAGCTATAAGCAATAAAAGATTTTAAATTTATGTAACTAACCACTAATAGATTGATTCAGAACTATGTTTAGAATCGCTTCCTGATTTTAAATTTCTAATCATCTAAACAGTATCATAGGTTTTAAGAAAAATATAGATGCCAGGCATAACCAGGTTACCTTCAAAAGCATTTTGTAGGCCTCCAATAAACGATTGGCAGCTGGTCCAAATCCATGAAGCTGTGGAACCTCCATCATGTGTGTCCATGGACGAATTTCCTACACAAAGGCAATCTTTTATAAGCTTCCCAAGATGTTACGTGCATGTGAAGGAGAGCATTGTCTTATCGTGAGAAGAGCTCATACTGATAATTTGATCTCACACAGATGATCAAGATTTAAAAGTCACCTAAAAAGGTAACAATCACTTCAAAAAGTCATGTTTGGTACTTGGCACTTTCGGGTCACTCTTTATGGACTCCTTCAATACTTATCTATGGCAATGCTAGATCTGTAATTCTTAGGATTACAAGTTTAGATGAAATGACACATTATAGATTAAATTCACCACATTATTCAAAGAGTCTCCAGCTCAATAGTTATGCATCTGGGACACTTCTTCAGCACAATTTATGATCTACTCCAAACAATTTTGCATGTGATAATAATAATGGAGGAAGGAATTCCTCACGGCACTGCTTAGGCCTCAGGGGAACCTAGCTCAAGCCTAGCTCAATAAGAAATTGATTACTGTGGGCTCACCTTCAGCTCCAGAGCTTCCGAATATAATGAGCTGATATCAAATTGTATGCTGATTCAATATTTTATATTTTTTTTACATATATACAATTAAAAAATAACTAATGAATTACCCATGCACTATACAGGTATTATTAAATTAAAATATATATTTTTTTTTGAAAAAACTAAAGATATAAATTATGATTATTTATAAATTTAATAAATTTAAAATATTTTAATTATTATTATACTAGTAGGACTAAATTAAAGAGAGAAATGTTTTAAAGTTAAAAAATAAACTATGAAAAAAATGAAAATTAAAAATTTAAATAAAAATTAAATTAAAGAAAATTAGATGTTCAATGTAGAAGTCACAAGATAAAATGAGATAGAGAACTAATTTTTAAACCACTTGTTTAAAATAGCTCCAAAAAAATTACTCTTGTCTAAGAATAACGGCTCACAGGAAGATTTTAATCTTTAATTTAAATTTAAAATTTACACTTTACAAACTTGTTTATAATTTTATTATATCTTAAAATAATTTACAAATAATTATTAACTTTGTAATTTTGTTTAGTCATCAATATTGATCTAAATGCTAATATCTAAAATTAAAAATAGCAATTAAAATAAAATATTTTATTTTATCATACATAATTATATATCAATACTTCTATTTGAAAAATAGCATATAAAGAATTAATGTGAATATTATTTTTATTGCAATTTATAAGAATTTAAAATTTATGATACGCACAAACACACATACATGCTTAGGACTTTATATCAGTGAGTTTTCTTACTACATGGATATTAGTAAATTAAAATTAAAAAAAAATGAAAATATATTGTATGAATTTTTAAAATTTAATTTTAAAAAGAATAAATATTTTGTTATATTAAATATGACTAAAACTTAAAGAGATAAGATTACATATTAAACCAGACTATTATACCTCACAGAACATAGAAAGTTAATAAGTTTGCAAACTCTCACTTTTGAAAGTTACACACTTAACATAAATGCAAAAAGAGAACAAATTTCATTAAAAAAAATTATGACATTCAGTAAAAGAGAGCAAATTTATGAAGCATATCACTTTCAAGAGTTAAGACTCAAATTTATAATGGATATTAGATTAGGTCTATCCAAAATTAAAGTCAAATACTAATACTAGTATCCATCAAATTAAAGCATTATTCTTATTAATTTTATTTTAAAATTTATATATCAAGCCAGCTTACAAGCTAATGCATGAAACATGTTAAAACTCATGCTCAGCTCATTGTAAACAAACCAAAAATTTCAGCTCATTCAGTCATAACTAGACCACATTGCGAACAAGCTCACAAGTTCCCTCAACTCACTTCCAATCCTAATGCTAACGCATAGCAATGAGTATGAATGTCATGTCGCCATTACAATTAGGTATCTCATTGAAACTTTCACTTCATCAAATGCAATGTTAATAAAACTAATATCTGTTTATCAAAAATGAAACTAAAACAAAGTTTATAAATAAAAAAGGGGTACCAGTACAGTCATTGAACTTGTTAACATATATTTACTATTTAATAATATACAAATATATCAAAATCAGTTAGGTTTAAGACAAAACAGATTTTAATTATAGTTATATACATTCTATGTCCATGACCCTCCTTTATTTCGTAGCAAGAATTTTGGTGCCTTAGATAGCTCTACTCAGTCCGACACTACAACCAGGCCTTACTCTTATGATGGAACCAGGTTTACCATACCAATTACAAGTGGAACTGTCCAATGTTTTGCAAGGGCCCAGTGCAATTGCAAGTTTCAGCCTGGCAGTAGTGACCAGATCACCATTGATCCAGATGAACCAACTATTCTGCCCAGTGCTCAAATTATGGGATATTTAGAAGTATATAACATCCCTGACTAATTGAATTAAAAGCACTGGTAGTTCCAATTCATTGCCATGATAGTTTCTGTACTTGTAATACACTAAATACACCAACTAGATTCAAATAAATCAGATCATAGGGTTTGCAAAACAAATTAGAAAAGCATGGTCAAACCTTGGTGTAAATCAAATTGAATGTTCTAGCTGTTTCAAGGAAAGATTCCAAATGTGCTCGCAGTTGGGATTCCACGTCAGTATACTCCTCATCTGGATTGTAAGCATGCTACAAACAAGAAAAGATAAGAATATCAAATAAATACAATAACATTACTCAGAAATGTATTGACATCAAAGTCTTGTCATTTTACAAAAAATCAGGAATTAGAAAATAATAGATTAAGAAACAGCAAAAGAAAAATAAGACAATGTCAAGAAACATGCAAGAGCCGGAGAGTTGAAGAAAGTGAGAAATGACAATCTAAGGGCCTATTTTATTTGAGAAAACTTTCTGCTTTAATTTCCAGTTTTCACAAATAATTACAAAAATGTCACCTTGTTCTAACATTGTTCCCTGATCTCAAAGATTTGTATAAAAAACAATCAAAACAAGATCTTTGAAGACAGGAGAGTGAGAACAAGGTAAGATTTTTATAATTATTTGTAAAAATATAGAAAATGAAAACACAACCTTTTCTTAAACCAAACAGGAGGGGACATCTGATTTGGCCTTTTCTTCATTGTCAATCAATATGTTCACCAAATATTACAAAAATGTCAGATTGTTTTCACCTTGTACTGCGGACTCAACTGTAATTCAATAAATCACCCTAATTATACTACAACACAAAATGATGAGACAAAGTAAATTACGTCCATCAAATAGTGAAGTATATTTTTTCTAGCTTTTGGTAGATTAGCTTATAAGACCTGCTGCCTATATCTACAACACAACAATACTTCGGTCTCAATTGCCCCAACAACTACCCAAATAACTTGCAGAGGATTAGCAAATAGAGGGAAACCAAAACATAATGTGGTGTCCATGAGGAACTTAGTCCGTGTCCTCATTTAGTAAATCCTTGGAAAGGATTGAAAAATCAAGAACAAGAAAAACTAAGAGGATCAAAGATGATGAATAGGTGTCCAGAAACTATTTACCAAGAAACAGAAAAAAAAAAATTTGCAATCAAAGGCATATTTTGGTAATAACATTTGGTAATAACATTATAATGGGACATACAGCAAAGTAACTAGGTGAAACAATATGGCTGAACAGAAAAACTAGGATAAAAAAATTCTTGCTGCTGATCAATTTCCAGCAGTTCATACAGATGTCATCTGACTATTAAAGACAAGAAGTGAGTTGAGAAGTTCAGTAAACCTTGGACGCCAAGTCATCAACTTTTTGTTGAAGATTCAGTAATATTTTTGATTGTTCAGAAAGCTTTGACTCCAGCTCAGAAACATCTGGCCTGAAAATAGTTTAATCAAAGAACCAGAATGTTACATCATCTCATCAGATAGAAATTCTTTTACCAGTTCAAGATAAAAGATTTCCATCAAACAAACTTCCAATTGCACACATCCCATGTGTATGTTGAATGAATATTTCAACTACCAAATCCAAAGTGCGTGTAGGATTTAAGATGAGTTTAAATAAACAGCGTAATTAAGCACTTATTTAATAAGTTCTAATCACATAGAGGCTCATGACACAAATTTGATCAAAAAAGTTATTGGAATTAGTTAAAGACATCTTATTTTGATAAGCTATGCCAAAAACCTTACTGAAATAAGCTAAAACAAACTTGAGTCATAAATTATTTTCAATAGTTCCCTATATGTGTCCTATTCAAGACAAGAAAACACAATCTTAAAACCAAATAAGACTCTCAAATGCTGGCATCATTTTAATTTTCATTTTATTAGTCTAATGTGTAAGTTTGTGAGTGCATATGCAGCTTTACTACTTGTTACCAAAGAAAGCAAACAAGTGTCAATTTCTATCAAGTTTAGTTTCCAAGCATTGGCTTATTTTTATTTATTTTTTTAAGAAAAATATGTGCCATTGGAAGAAATAGAGAATGTACAATTAAAGGGAGGATAAAATATCATCCAAGACAGAAAAAGGTTAAAATCAATGAAAATGAAAATATCAACAAGGCAGCAAATATGTCCAGTCTCTGCACGCTACAAATGGATACTCCCTTTAAACAATCAAAGGTCATTAATTTCTGCAGTTCTTGTTACAATTAATGCTCTTAAAATAAGCTATGTGCACTATGAACAAAACATTGCACAAAACATTTGATGATATTCTACATCATTGAAGATTGACACAAAAATTTAGCCTTCCATCTGCCATTGAAGTACATAAGGTTACCTAACAGCAGCTTAAAATTTTCAATGGCATTCATCAGTTTGTATTTTCACAATGTTCGCATATGCAGAGAACAAATTATCAAATATTAGTTTGATGGGTATAATCATGGTCTACCATTTCATTATTTTGTAGTTGGAATATTTCTGCCTGAACTTATAGCAACATTTGACATGCACCATAAACCATGCAAATCCACTTCAAAGATATGCCCTAGTGCATTATAACACATGTTAACACTATCACATGTTAAACACACCACTAACTTAGATACAGATGCAAGTCCATCATTATGAAACAAAGATATGTTCCTACAACAGAAACAGAATGGGAAGGTAAATTTTCATAAGAAAATGAAGCAAGAAACTTTTATTTACAATGGATATATGGACTGAATCTGAACATCCGCAGGAAACAATTTACATTCTTCAGAAAATATTTGAGCTTGTTTTTCTGCGATGGAGTCTATCAATTGGATGTCCTTGGCCACTTGCTCATCAACACTACAGAAATCAGAATACAAACCAAATTTATGTCAATTCCATCTCTGCAAAACCAGAATTATAAAAAACAGATTATCAATTAGAAATATAATAAGACCATGGACAACCTCCATTCTGGATTATCAGCATATATTGTTGCCTCCACTAGATCTACAATAAGACGAAGCATTTCAGTGCGGTCTTCATAGCTTCCATGCCCCTGGATTATCACTATAATGCATGGTCAAGTGGCAACCACATTTGGACATAAAACTTTAAATATTCACTCTTATCCAAGAGAAAAATATCAAATCTAGTCACAAGCCTATCAATAACCTCCTTTCTTTTTTAATAATCAAGAATCTTTTCACTTTTATTAGACCACAAAGATTAGATAAGCTTTTTAGGGAAAATTTTCTGAGTTAGCTATAAGCCTATAAATCACTAATGGTACATAATAGTCAGTCAGACACAATAAGACAGAACCAACCCAATCATTTTCTGTGCTTTCGCACATGAACAGGAAGTTCCCAGTTTACGCCTAATTGCCTGTGGTCCTCTCTACTTTAAGCCCTGAACTCATAACAACTATCACTGTAAAAATCAAGACAAGGATCCATAAAGATAACTAAATATGCTTATAACTTCATCCAGGTAGTCACAACGGTTGAAGTTCACACTGATACTGCATCAACTAATCCAGATGGCTCTTTAGAAATGTTGTCAACAAGTATCACTAAAAAGAACACATAATTCAGAAACATAATAATGAGCAACCTTTTCCCCAGCAATAATGCGCAACTCAGATACACAAATAATCCTTAACACATTGTGATCAATCAGAAATTACTCATGATCAAACAAAGAACTAAAAAATTCAACCTGAAAAAAGGACATCTATAAAACAATTCAGGAGGTATGCACAAATGATAACAGAAGCATATAGCTGAGAGAATACCAAAGTAAATAGCAATAAGTACATTGCTATCCACAGTAAGAGCATGACCGTATGCCCAATTGTCTGTATAAGAAAGTAATTTAATGAAAAAGCTGATATAGAAAATAAAATATCAAAACTATTCAAAAACTACATGTATCCAGCAGCTTGCTACTAGGCTTCTAATAGCTACAATATTAGTAAAATAGTAATAAAAGAATTCAAAATGACTAACCTGAATGGCCTCCGTATCTACAGTCGTCGTAATACCCAGAAACTTAGCAATCTCTGCCAAATCTGCAATTATAAGTCACAAGAAGCAAAAGTTACTACAAGAAGACACAATCAAAAGTCACAAGATGGTATAATATCATCTCCAACTTTAACTTCTAACATATGATATTGATCTTATTTTTTGTTAAAATTAAAATGCATACACTTTGTTTTGCTTCTGCTCAAGTGAAAACCTTATTCATTCATAACTTAAGTTTAACATTAACTTCTTCTTTTGAATCTTCAACCAACACTATGTCATCCGCAAAAAGCATGTACTCAGCAATAATATTGTGCATTTCACTCATAAGTTCATCTAAGATTAGGTTAAACAAGTAAGGGAAGGTCTCACCTTGATGTAAACATTATCTTATAGGGAAGTCCTTAAATACGTCCCAAGTGTTCTATCAAATATAGTTACTCTCTTATACAAGTCTTGTATAGCGAAAATATATACATGAATCTCTTTCTAAAGTATTTCATAAAAATTATCTTGGTACACATATCATATGTCTTTTCTAAATCAATAAAAATTATATTTAAGTTTTTTTCTTGATAGTGATACTTTTCCATCAACTTTCATAAAAGGTATATAATTTCTATTGTAAATTTTATTGACATAAACTAAATTAATTTGTCACAAATTCAGTTTCATCTCATAATCTATACCACTTACATTTTTTCAGAACTTCATAGTGTGACTTATAAGTTTAATTTCTCTGTAGTTTGCATAATTTTAGATATCACATTTGTTTTTATATATAAGGACCAAAATACTCTTCATTCATCTTCTTTATTCTTAAAATCTTATTAAAGAGCTTAGTAAGTCACTCAATTTCTTGTTCTTCCATATATTTTTAAACTTTAACGGGAATATTATTGAGACCAATGACTTTATCATTATCCATCTTTTTAAAAGTTTCCTTTACTTCTCCTATTTAAATTCTACGATCATGTCAAATTTAAATTATTCACTTACACTAATCTTTCAATATTTTCATTTATTCCTTGTTCATTGTTAAAATATTTATAAAAATAGTTCTCTCATTTGTTTTGATCTGTAACTAAAACTTTGTCTTCATCCACACCTATAACTTGGTTCAAATCTATGTATTTTCTTTCTCTAATTTTGACAAGCTTATATATCTTTTTTCCACTATACTTTCTCTAAAGATCTTGATAAAACTTCTCAGAAGCCTTAGATTGTGCTTCACTCATAGCTTTTCTTATCTCATTTCTTGCATTTTGATACATTGTCCAATTTTTAGAATTGTTGCATACATGCAAAGTTTAAAACCCATCATTTTATCTCTACTCTTCTCTTGCATACTATCATTCTACTATAATAATTTCTTATCTTTTGGTGCAAGACCCCTAAATTCACCCAAAATTGTCTTGACAACTCTCCTAACATTCATAGTCATCTTGTCCCAAATGATGTTAGCACTACCTTGTGCATTCCAACTATCTTCTTTTGCTAACTGTTTCTTAAAGTTCAATTGTTTTTCACCTTTAAGTAGTTGATTACTAGAACAATAACTTATCAAAATCTCTGTTTAATAATGAAACGAACATTAAGGATCAAGACCCTATGTTGTGTAGTAAGACTCTTTCCTAGAATTTCTATGCAATTCTTGCAAATTCTTTTGTCTAGATTTCTTACCAAAAAGAAATTGATTTGCAACCTTAAGACCCCACTCTTATAAGTGATAAGATATCCCTCCCTTTTCTTAAAACAAGTGTTTATAATCCTAAAATTGTACGTCATTGAGAAATCAAGAATACATTGTCCTTCCTCATTTAACTCTCCAAAACCAAAACCACCCTGAACCCTTGTAAATTCTCTTGTCTCACAGCCAACATGACCATTTAAGTATCTACTTATGAAAATCTTTTAAAAAGAAATTAAAAGAACAAATTGGCAATGTGTTAATAAATGTGGAATAACAAAGTGCCTATTCCGTATGACACACATATCAAACAAGTCTTTTGCAGGAAACATATAATAGAACTAGAAAACTACAATGTTCAAGCAGGGTTGACCTTGAGTGGCATGATATAAGAAAACAAACAAGCACAAACTTGACCACACCACATTTTTTTTTTCTACTATTATGTAAAAATGCAGAATTGTGCACAAACACAAATTAGTCACAAAGAGAGCTTGAATACCAGGTTATGAACTAGCACACTGAAATTTTCCAAATAAAGAAAATGAAAACACTTACACTGAATTCGAGCCGTCTCCTCATCCCGATCAAGGCCATCCCCTTGTAAGTTCTGTTGAGAAAAGGGTGACTTATCACCTAATAGCCTGTTGTAAATACAAGTTGCAAAGATCATTTCTTTTTAACATGAAAAGGAATACATCAAAGAAGTGTAAGTAGTCAAGCTGCACATAGGCTAAAACAAAAAAATGTCAAATACTGAAAGAGGGCATTGCTAAGGCTATACACTTGGTTGGTGGTAGAAAGATGGCAGAAATGGGTAGCAAGCCAGTGAACACTAAACATTTTCTACCACCATTCTACCCATCCACCTATTTTCACCTCTGGACGATTTTTTAAATAAAGAGTGCATGTTTGCCAAAATTTGTCTAAGAATGTGCATCAAGCACACAAGCACACTAAACCCACGAAATGATTCATGATGGATATACAACAGCCAATTACTCAAATCTAAGACTTAAGCATTCCAGTTTCCATTAACTTGATTTTGAAGAAGCTTCTGCAAACACTAAACAGATAATGGATTTAATAGATTCAGAAAATAAGATACCGAAAGAAAAGCCACTCCAGAAGGGCATAGCGCTCCATGCCGGCAAATAGAAGGGACTGTGCAGGGGCATTTGCTCTTGGGTAATTTAGCATTGCCAATTTCTTCTGAATCTCTTCCATTTGCCTCGCCGCCATCTTATGTGTGAATTTATTGCATCTTCCTTTCTCACTTCCTCTTTAGTATCGAAAATATAATATTGGGCCCCTCTCAAAATTGAAGCAAGAACTGGAAAGAAAAACAGAAAACACATCATAATATATAATATTAATAACATACATCAACATGAGACGAAATTTGCACAATTCTAAAAATCAGTTACACAAGTCCATGATTCTGAAATTAATGCACTACAAATAAATAAAAAAATTTCAATTATGTGATCGCTAGAATATCGAAATTTCCAAAAAGATCTAAAGTGACACGGAGAAAACCGCATTTCTAGAAGCCAATTCAGACTTTCAAATTCGAGCAAAGTACACAGTAGCCAATGCTCAAAACGGATCTACCGTGCACACGCGATTTCACCGGCATTGTACCAAACGTGACAGTGGCAAGCATATCCATTCACGGAAATTACAATACACGCGGCAGAAATTCGAGGCGGCACAAGTCACGTGCGAATCAGTGAAGGATCGAGCTGTTACCTGAGAATTGGAGTTGTTCGCGTGGGGTTTCGGGGCCGGCGAGGTCGATGACAACGGGGAATAAGGCGGCGAATCGGAGGGAATGGTTGCCGGGACAGTTGCGAGAGAAGCAGAGAATGATGAGTAACGAACCACCGGGTTTTCTGTTTGTAGGGTGCTCTCGCTGCTGCTGCTACTCCTGTTCTGAGCTTTCCATTTCAAGTTTTTTTCGTCGCCAATTACCATCGTGCCCCAACACTCCTTGCTTTGTTACAATTTTACCCTTACTTCACATAATAATAATAATAATAATAATAATAATGGCTTATTAAGCTTAAGGAATATCCATCCAGCAAATTTTTTGTTACTTTTGATTAAACGTAAAAAATATGACTTAAGCGAATGTTAAAGAAATTATGCAAAACAAATATGACTAATACGAAGAAGATTTAAAATAATATTAAAGAATTAATTAATACAAACTAGATTTTTATGATTAATTAAAATTGAGAATAAATGTAAAATTTTAATTCTAACAATACATATGGTTTGTAAATAATCTTAAAAATTTAAAATGTTATTTAACGTTTTATTAATTTAAAAATTATTTTTTAATTATAAATTAAAATTGTTTCAGTGTAAAACTTTATAAATTTTAACCATATACAAAATTTGCTTAGAACATATTAGAAATAGCTATAAATATAATATATAAAATATAAAATAAAAATTTTTAAATATCTAACAATTTAATAAATTTATTAAAGAAATTAAATTATAAAAATTGTTATTATTAAGTTACATATCAAAGATTTAAACTATTTATATTTTTTAAAATATATTTAATAGTTTAAAAAACTCAATCACTCATACACAAAACGACAGACCTATGTGCCCAACTCCATCGAAATCTCATCCAATATGCATTTCTTTAAAATATCTGAAGTAACAATGGGGAAATATTAGAGACTCATGCAGGGCTTAGGCTGCCTTGGAGAAGTAGTAAAGCAACAAGGATTTGATGTCTTAAATAGTTGAAAAGATATTAAAGTACTGGAATGACCTCTGCATGCATCGATGACCTCCAGATTATTTGTTTCGAATATAACATCATTAAATCCAAGGTTGATAGACAGGACCATGGCTTCACAAATTAACATATGAAAACTAGCATGTTAATCTCCAATAACTGCACCAATTGTAGCTAGATGCTTTGAGTTTTTACACCCGGCATCGTGAGGGTTTTTTCTTGATTAATAGTTGTAGCTTGATTTGACTCCCTCTTGTTAACTTGAATATACTTATTAAGGCTGTTAGGAGAGGATTAAGAATAGGAATGACAATGGGTAAAGTACCCGATGGGTACCCGTAAAATTTACGCTCAACGGGTAGAGTATTTATCTGCTAAACGGGTACGGGTATGGGTATAGAAAAATACTCGCAAATTTCCATGGAGATGGGGGTAGATATGAGTACCTAAGTACCTATTCCGCCCCATACCCGCATATACTATTATTATGATTATTATTATTATTATTATTATTATTATGCTACTTATGTGAGAAAGGCCTTAAGCCAAAAGTCCATAATGAGAGAGAATTAAGGTTAATACTTTATATATTTGGCTATGTCTCTTTTATAATCATTGACAATTATATAATCATATGAGTTGCTCCACAATTTGCCTATCGAGAGTTGTGTTTTAGGAGTGTGACTTACATAAAGATCTAACCTATCACTTCTCATAGAATTCAGAGATCAAGTACAACAAATTTTATACAAATACAAGTCTTCAACAAGTAAGCATAAAACTCTATTATAATTATTATTGATATTTTTAATTATTTTTATTGTTCTAATTTCATATATTCTAGTTTGAATAATTTTTTACTTATAATTGAGGAACTAATAATTTAAGAAAACAAGAATCTAACTTACTTTTATTTTTTAGAAAGTTTTTGTGGATGCTTTTGTAAAATTTTGGTCAAGATAAAGATTTTACTATTTATTTTATGTAATTTCATGTCTTATATTTTTTACTCAGTTCAGACTTCTTTTATAGGTCATATTTATTTTATTTTATACTACTATATTTTCAAAAAAAAATTTCTATGCAAAATAAAAGGTTGAGAAATTTAATATAAATATTTATGTTACTCAAATAAAAGAATGCATATTTAAATATATAAAAATCTATCTAATCGAATTTATTTTATAAGATTAACATAAAAATATATTTATCAATAAAGTAAACCATAAAAATAGTTTTTTTTCATATTTTTAATAGAAAAATTTATTTACTATTTTATATCATTTAACTAGACTAATATAATTTAATTATTATATAGTTGATATGAGATTAATTTTTTTTTTAAAAATTATTTATATATGACACATACAAAATGTTTAGAAATTTAGTGATTAAAATTATGTGATATTATATTGACTTGGGTTAAATAAGATTTTTTATTTAAGTTCTTGCTTTTATATAGGTAATAACAAATGGAAAATGTATGTGGAGTAACTCCTTCAAAGGAATCTGAAAGTAACTCTTCTCTAATTATTTCCATTACTCCCACACAACCTGAAAATGTTCCTAAAAGTATACTTAATGATTATGGACCGAGTGACAGTTCTGATATTAGAGGTCAATCTCAATCCCAGTCTGATACACTTCCTATTTCGGTGGATGGAGATGATTGTGATGCAACTCATGATGAAAAAAAAAGAAAGATGTCGATTGTATGGAATCACTTTAAGAAAAAAATTATTAATGGGGAAGAAAAAGCTATATGCAATTATTGTAACAAGCAACTGATAGGTAGAAGATCAGATGGAACAAATCATTTGCATAAACACTTTCAAACTTGTAAGAGGAGGCCATATAAGGATATAAGACAATCAATCTTATTGAGAGAATAAAAGAAAGTAGATGGATCATCCACTTATTTAAGTAATTATCACTTTGATCCAGAACAATCTAGAAGAGATCTTGCTTCTATGATAATAATTCATGAGTATCCGCTTTCTATAGTAGACCATTTGGGGTTTAGAGCATATTCTGAAGGCCTCCAACCTTTATTCAAGGTTCCTAGTCGGAGCACAATAAAAGGTGACATTATCAAAATATATCAGAATAAAAAGTTGAAGACTATGGGACTCTTAGAGATGATTAGAAGTAGAATTGCTTTAACAACAAACATGTGGACAACTAGCAATCAAAAGAAAGGGTTTATGGCTATCATAGCTCACTACAATACTGATGATTGGGATATGCAAAGTCGCATATTGAGGTATAATTTTTGTGATCATTATATGATATATTCATTTAGTAATTATTTGTATTATTTCAATATTTTTTTATATATGTATATAATTTATTTTTACATTAATAGGTTTGTATATGTGGAATGTCCACATACAGCAGAAGCTCTGTCTAAAGTGTTAGTTGAATGCATGCTAGATTGGAATATTAATAGCCATCACTTTGGATAATTGTAGTACAAATGATTCTCTTGTTGGTTTGTTACTAAACAAACTTGATTGTTCTTCTTTTATGCTTGATGGTCAATTATTTCATATGAGGTGTTGTGCACATATTCTCAATTTAATTGCTCAAGATGGTTTAAATATTCTTGGAGATGGCATAGAGAAGGTTAGAAGTAGTGTTACTTTTTGGACAGCTACACGTAAAAGAGAACAAACCTTTAAGGAAGCAGCACGTCAAATCAAAGTTTCCATTACAAAGAAACTTGTACTTGATTGCAAAACAAGATGGAATTCTACTTATCACATGCTTGTTGTTGCATTGGCTTATAAAGATGTTTTTATTCATTTGAAAACAAGAGAGCATATGTATACATGTATCCCTACAACAAATGATTAGGAAATTGCTAAAGAAATTTGTAGTAGGTTGGAAGTCTTTAATCGTGTGACTGAGATGTTTTCTGGGACACAATATCCTACAACAAATATTTTATTCTCATTGGTTTGTGAAATAAAGTTATCTCTGCAACAATGGCAAATTTGTTCAATTGAGGCTATTAGAAATATGGCTACAAAAATGGTAACCAAATTTGAGAAATATTGGTCTGTTATACATGGAATCATGGGAATTGCCATTTTTTTTTTATCCAAGATATAAATTAAAGTTGTTAGAGTACTTCTTTTCCAAGCTCTATGGAAGTTCATCTTCTTTTCAAATTAACAATGTGAAAAAATTATGCTACTTGTTGTTTGAAGATTATCAAGCTAAAGCCATGGGAATAGTAGAAAGTTCAGCTGAAAAGTCTAATGAGATGGAGATGAATTTAGATATACTTAATGTTAATAATTTTTTAAGTGATTATGATTCATTTGTTAAAGATACAAATGATATGCAATCAAAGTCTGAGTTGGATATCTACTTGGAAGAGAAGGTATTGCCTAGAAGTGCTAGTTTTGATATCCTTGGGTGGTGGAAATCAAACGGGATCAAATATCCAATATTGTAAAAAATTGCCAAGGATATTTTGGCCATCCCAATTTCAACCGTTGCTTCAGAGTCTGTTTTTAGCACAGGAGGTAGATTGTTGAGTCCTCATCGTTTTCAACTTCATAAGGATACCTTGGAAGCACTCACATGCGCACAAAGTTGGCTGAAACATGAAAATAAAGGTATTGAATACTCTATTAATATATTTATTTAATTAAATATTTTTGTTAATTTTAATTTGATAGCTTAATTATTGATTTTCTTATTATGTACTTGTATGTTTTAGTTTCTATTGGTATTACTGGACCAAAGCAATATGTAAACTTGAAAGATAAACGTTTACAGTCATTTGGAGAGTCTGATTCTGATGAAGAGGTAAAATAGCCTAACTATACCATTTTGACTTTACAATAAATAATTAACTAATGTTATTTTTTTAGGTCTTGCAGAGTGACAGTACAGGAATATAAAGTTTAGGAGTTGGTTGTTTTACAAGATCTTGCAGATTATGTGTGCAATTTTGTTTTTGATTTTTAAGTACTTTAGTTTAGAAAGTTGATGTATTAAGATACACTTAACACTTATGATCTTTGAATATTTATTTTTTACTTATACTTGAACTTTGTTTGGTAATATTATATAAGTATATTTTTTTTTTATAACTGCTTTTTTTTTCTTAGACATGCACGGGTAATAGGGGCAGGTATGGGTATGCGAGTACCCAG